GGCAAGGGGTGAGGATTTCTGTAGGTCCCACTGGGACGCAGGGGGTGAACGAGTTAACATTTACAAAGTGCTTTGAGCTCCTTGGAGAAAATACCCAATCTAAGTATTCTCATTAGTGCATGAATAATAGATGAGCCCGAAGCACTTTGTGAATAGGAAGTTCTTTAGCAACGCTAAATAATACTCCCATGGACTTACCTGCGAGCAAGGGGAGGGGCCAATTCTTGAAGCTCTGATGGTTCTAGTCTTTACTGTCACTGAGGCAGAGTCGGATCTGGAATAAAATAATTCCCCTCTTCTGCCTCTGAGATTGGAGAGGATGAAATGTGTGATGTCAAAGGCAACCCACTTAACTAGGTGCCTCCTCCTAGTGCTTTTTGTTTAGAATGACGTGGACAGCAGGCGTCAGAGCGCTGGCTCATCCGTGGGACGATGGGTTCGCTTTTCCAAAGGGGGACTCCACTCTGAGCAGGGCTGGGCCTGCCCTCCTCTTTGGTGCTGCTGAGAATGAGACTGACTTTTCTTTGGGGGTAGAGAAGGGAAGGGGGTGGTTCTCGAACCCTGGGTTGTGGAGAAAAGACCTCTTGCATCTGCAGCCTAGAAAACATTTAATGGCCCTATTGATTTTCAAGGACTGTGGGAAATACACCTAGATTTATCTCAGTGTTGGAAGTATAGTTCTTTAGCGTTAACTGCATGCATGTTGTGCAGTGGATCCCTAGAAGTCTTCATCTTGCAGCTAAAACCTCAATCTCATTAAGTCATACTCCCACCCTTACCCTCCCCAGCTCTTCTGCTTCCGGTCTCCCCAAGTCTAGCTCCTTCCGGTCCCTCTTTGCAACTGGAACCATGCACTGTTTGTTTTTTGTGGCAGGTTTATTTCATTTAGGGTAATGTCTTTGAGGCTTATTCATTTGTAGGCTGTTTAAGAACTCTCTCTCTCTCTCTCTCTCTCTGTGTGAGCGCGCGCGCGTGTGCGTGAACATGTGAGCTCAGGTGCCCTCAGAATCCAAGAGGGGTATCTGATCACCTGGTTCTGGAGGTGAGGGTGGCCGTGAGCCATCCAGCATGGGTGCTGTTCTGACCTTGGTTGGATCTTCTGTAAGAGCAGTATGTGATCCTCATTTCGGATCCATCTCTCAAGCTCTTCCACGCTATTTCTTTGAGACAGAGTCTCTCACTGATTCAGCTAGACTGGTTGGACAGCAAGCCCCAGAGATCCTCCTGTCTCTGCCTTCCCAGTGACAGGATTGCAGGAGCTGACTGTGAGTGTTGAAAATTGAACTCAGGTCCTTATACTTGTGTGTGGCAAACATTTTACCAACAAATCATCACTGCAGCCCCTTCCTCTCTCCCCTTCCCTCCTTTCCTTCTTTTGGTTTGACAGGGTGTTACTACACAGTCCTGGCTGCTCTAGAACTTGATGTGTGGGTCAAACTGGCCTCAGATTTACAGAGATCAGCCAGACCCAGCCTCTCAAGCGATGGTATTAAAGGTATGCACCATCATGGCTGGACTCCTTTCTTTTTAAAGTCCAAACAGTACCTCATTATAGGTATACGTTCCTTTTTGTTTATTCACTCATTCACTGGTGGACACTTAGGTTGCTTTCACTCCTGCTTCCAACTCTTGTGAGCAAAGCTGTTATGAACATGGATGTACAAATATGTTTGAATGTATACCTCCACTCTCCAGAAAGGCTACACTCAGCTGCCAAATGAGAATCCTTCACACCTAACTGGAAAGTGGGCTTCGAGGATGCCAAGTAACTTGTTCAAATTTGAATAGCAGTGTCAGTGAATCAGGACAAAATCCCAGCTCCGGGTCCAGTGCCACTGACTTTTCTTTTGAAGAGAGCGTTAAGCTCTCTGGGGGGTTCTTACTTTTCAGGCAACACCTTGAATTTCACAAACAGCTTCTGGTGCACACTGCAAATTTTAGGCAGAAGAAAGTAAAAGCTAATGGGATGCTCCTGGGCTGTCACGTGACTCGGCCTGAACTGAGGTTCTCTGGGTCACCTCATCACAGTTGCTATTACACTATTCAGGGAAGTATTGGAACGATTCATGCCAGGGATGGGAATATCATGTCTCCATCTTTGTCTACCTGAAAGTAAAAGAGGAGTCACAGGGTCAGATGGCAGGTAACCACGACAGGCTCCAGAGACTATGCGTTCCAGAGAGAAGCCTGAGGCCACACAGCCAGGAGCAGGATAGGGCAGGCACCTGGCAGCTCTTCTCTGTCTCTGGAGGAATCCATACTCCTGATTCTCAAAGACCCAGGAGGTGTGAACCTGAGGCTGTGTGACCCAGTGAACCCTCTATAACATTTCCCCTTTTCGATGAGGCAAACCTCCCTCCACAGCCAATCTCAGACCGTGGAAGCATGGATACTGCCCGTGGAGCTGGGAGAGCCAGGTGCCAGCATTGTGAACACCATACAGAGCATTTTCACCCCTTGGAATAAAAGACAAGACGCAGAGCACAGACAACCACCAGGAGATGCCAAGTTTTGACTATGTAGTGTAATTTAGGTGGTGGTTACGTTTTACCAGCTTAGTTTCTTTCCTGTTGTAGAGATTTAAAAAAAAAAAACTTGACAAAAGCATCTTAAGAGAGAAAGGCCTTCTTTTAGCTCCAGCTCAAAGGCAGGAAGGTCATGACAGCAGGAGCTGCAGAAGCTGGTCATATCACTTCTATAATCAGGAGCAGAGAACAAGAGAGACAGGCGTGTGACTGTTCAGCTCACCCTCTTCATCTCACACAGTCCCAGAGAATGGCCCCACTCACAATTAAGATGGGCCTTCCCACACCAACGAATGCAGTCAAGACATCCCTTATCACCAACATTCTCAGAGGCTAACCTTGAACCGGGACAGCCCCTCACACCCCTGCCTGAAGGCTTTCCTCCCAGGCATCCAGGTTGCAGATGCTAACTATCACATTTACCAAGTGCGAAGTCTAACAGTGGTTGTGCTTATCAGCAGCTATGAAATTCCTCAGCATCCAATACTTGGGGAGGAAGGGTGAGGCAGTGCCAGCCCACCCCTGGCTGCCCTGCCTGGTTCCTTTGCTGGCTGCCTAGCTTTCTAGTTTGTGTTTTTGTCTCCATTTGTTGGTTCACACACACCTAAATAGGAACGTGGTGTAGGAAAATGCAGTGGGTCAATGGGCTATCATGGAGATACATTTTGTGTATAGCACTGGCATCAGCTCTAACTCTTTAGCTAAACTTTAAAAAGAACTGTTTTGTGCTCCCTCTGCTTCATTGCACACGAGGCGTTATATCTTACTACTTTTTTTTTTGACAACTCAGAGACGTGTGGAGAGCTGCAGACTTCTGGAATGAATGACCCCAGACTGTTGTGCTGTGGGGGTCCTCAGGTTTTCTTTATTCTCATTTCTTTGGAGTGTGGAGTGTCAGAAATGCTCAGGACTAAGGAGGAGGCTGCACACTGCTTTCTCTATTGCCTTCAGTAGCTGTTTGAGAGTCATTGGGTGGACCATGATCCTTAAGAGGGTCCAGGGTTGGGGCAACTGCAAGGACATGTGTCCCTCCTGGCTTGGATGGTGCTAACATCATTTGGTTGATGAAGTCACTGGAGCTGGGGCCACCCCTCAAAACGTAGCAGGGAACCCAGGAGTGAGGGCTTGCTCCCCCACCCACTGCCCTAATTAACAAGTTGGGTCCCTTCCAGGTCCTCTGGTGGCTCTCCTGGGGCTGGGTTCCACTGGGGGCTGGCAGACAGTCTTACTCTAGGCAGGGTATCGATCCTCACGTGGTTCTGGGGCCCCTCTTGGGGGAGCACTCTCTGTTTTAAGTGCATGCAGTAACTCTCTTGACTGGCTTGTAAACAGGTTTTAATGGGGCTATTAGTGTAAAAGGACAGGAAACTTTCAAAAACAACCTCTTAAATATTCATGAGGATGTTAAATCTGGCGCTTAATCACCAGTGTTTGCACACAGCTACCAGGGAGGGAGGACAGCTAACAGGCTGCCTTCACTCGGGGGCAATTGACAGGACATTAATAAACGCTCTTACAGGCATGATGAATGGCCAAGAGACTAGCAGGATTGTTATTTTTTTACTTTCATTTTTCAAAATAAAACCAAAAGAACCTTTTTTCTTTGGGGATCTCAGTTCTGGGGGTGGGGTGTCAATGTGGAGGTGAAGGTGGGTTCAGGGAAGATGGAGTGTGTGTGTGTGTGTGTGTGTGTGTGTGTGTGTGAGCGCGCGCATGTGCACTAACTATGGATGAATGAATTCTTTGCCTTCAGAAATAGTTAACTGGGCTATCTGCTTCCAGGCTCATGGTTCCTCTGGGGAAACTTAAAAAACTAGAGAAGGGAATCTCTGAAGAACCCCTCCACCACTGGAGGATTCTTTTCTTTCTTTTTTCTTTTTCAAGACAGGGTTTCTCTGTGGCTTTGGAGGCTGTCCTGGAACTAGCTCTTGTAGACCAGGCTGGTCTTGAAGTCACAGAGATCCGCTTGCCTCTGCCTCCTGAGTGCTGGGATTAAAGGCATATGCCAACAACACTTGGCCACTAGATGATTCTTAACTTAGCCAAGGGGAGGTCCAAGAGAGATGCACAGGAACCTTCAGAGTGGAGCTGCCTGGTGGGCCATGACAAGATGCTTTGGCAGATGCTAGACCCTTAGATTGAACTTAAATGCATGCAACAATGGCCAGCTGTGGCCCATAATGCTTTCTATCCTGAGCTTACCTTTCTAACTGGGCATATTTAATTTATGGAGATATGTCTTTCTAGAACTTCTGTCATGTTGGGTATAGAATCTTTACCAAAAATGAATAGAAAGTTTGCTTTTAAACTTATAAATGATGTACACTATTTTATTTCTAGAATGGACCTTAGGGACTGACTAGGCCTTACTGATTTCATATTAGAAAAGCGAGGAGGGGAAAGTAATTTGGCTAAGGCTGAGCAAGAGGCAGACTGCTGGTACCCAGAGTTCTGACTCCCTAGTTCTTTTCACAGGGCCACCCACGTCAGCCGGATGAGAGGATTCCAGGAAGAGTCGGAAAGCACAGCACTCATTTCTTCAAGAAGAGCCAGACTCAAATGCTTGCCCAGCCCAGTGTTACTGGACAATTGCTGGAAGCTCCCAGATCTGGGAACACCCTGCAGTTCCTGTGTACACCCAACCTTGTTATTTGAACCAAACTCAGGACCTCAATCCTCTTTTCTTCCTCCACAAATATTCATTAGGATTAAAAATTATTTTATGTATAAGGGTGTTTTGCCTGTAAGTATGTCTGTGTCCTATATGCATGCAGCGTCCAAGGAGGACAGAAGAGGGCGTCAGATCCTCTAGAACTGGAGTTACAGAGTTATTAGGGGTCAAGTGAGTCCTGGGAATTGAATCCTGGTTCTCTGGGAAAGCAACTGGTGTGCTTAACCACTAAACCACCTCTCTACCCTGGTATTAGGATTTTTGACTAATATAATCTACTTAGAAGTGAAGGTTACTGCTAGTATGTAGTTATACATTCATGAAAACTGTTTCTGTGGAGCAGGAAAACCCATCCTATGTTTTAGAATGTCTCATTCAGCTTCCCCCATAAAACCTTTGCTTGTTCTAGCCTCTCCTGTTGTATCCCACATATTCCATCAAATTCTTCAGGGGCCCAAGCTACTGAAGCAGGTCTTGGGGAGAGGAAGCTGTCATGGAGTTAGACAATGAGGTCCCTTTCCCAATGCACTCTTCCTCCAGCTTGTGATTTAATTCTGGGGCAATAGCAGAGTGAGTTTTTTGTTTTATTTTTAAATTTCACCTTCATCATTCCTACCATTGGTCAAGATCTTATGGGGGCCTTACAACATCTGCGTCCAGCCCAAATCATTCCTTCCTTGCACAATCAACTTTAGCCCTGTCCCCACCCCAAAAACCAAATGCAATCTTCTTTTGGGATCAAAGGATCAGAGAACATCACAGACGGGACAGTATGTTTCTCTGTCATGGCCTGTTCCTAGGTTCAGTGGAATGAGGTTTTACTTATTTTATTTTTAATCTTTTTTTAATGGAATATCTACCATGAATGAAAAACTCAGTCTCTTGCTAAACAGTTTGCATTAATGATTTCCATAAGAGCCAATCTATTGATTTTTTAAAAACAAAACTCCATTTGTCTCTTTTATCTGGATGTATAACTCATATAGGTGTGACTGATAAAACAACCAGTTAAGAAATAGTTTCCTTTTCACAATTAGACTGGATGTATTTGACAGTCTTGACTGATAATAGTTGCAGACTTTAGGGCACATCCAAAGTACAGAGGAGATGTCATGTCCACTGGAACTGTACTGATTTCTCATCAGAAGCTAGCATGGGCATGATTCTGTGTGTCCTCTCAAGTCATCAAACTACAACCAGTGCTGGATTTCACACAACATGGCTTTTGATTTGGCTCTTCTTACTATACAATAGTGTTCTTACCCAGTGCATTTAACAGAGACTCATTATGCTTTGTAGAAAGCATGGACCTGGGTGTTAAAACTTAGGGTCTATTTAGAGGTGATCCAATAAAGTACTGTGGTATCAGACAGTTCTCATTTTGCTTGCCTGGAACTTGGGCATAGTAAAACCTGTGAAAACACTTAATGAGTTTTTCCCAGTGATGCTTTCCAGGCATCATTAAAATGAAACCTTCTCACGTTGAAGCTGAATTTCCTCTCTAAACCTGTTCTTCTCTGGTATTTCCAGGTCAGTCGGTGACATTACAAACTATGCAAGTGTTTGTACCAGAAGTCAGAGTCTCCCCCTCCCCCATCATACATGATCAATTCTGTTCTGTCTTCTTAGTCTCAGATCTATTCACACCATTAAGCAGCCTAGTCCAGACCATTTTCATTGCTTGGGTGAGGACAGAACCTCCCTGCTTTCCCTGCCATACTTAACCATTCACTCCTCCAGTCTGTGCCTTATAGCAGACTTATGTCTGTTCTTTTGTTTCATCACTTTTTTCTGAGGAGGGATCTCACTGTGTGATCTAGGATGCCCTCAAACTCATGATGTCCTTGCCTCTGGCTCCCAGGAACTGGAATTACAAGTATGCACTAACACTCTCTGTTCCGCACTTCTCTTCAGACTTAGGGGTCTTTCTGTTAATAATTCCCTATACAAAACACTTGCTCACTCACTGTGGCCTGGACAACATCCATTCATCCACTAGAACTCAGGATGAATACTAAATGCGAGGAGGTGATCACTTACATTTCCCTGTAGGATGGGTTCCTCTTGTACTATATTTTGGTATAGATTTATTTACTTGCATAATTATTTGGGATGTAAACCCTAAGAAGTTCAAGACTATGCTGTGACCCCAGTGCCTTGACAAAGTACCCACCACAATGCAGGTAGACAGACAGCTGACAGGGTGTGTGTAGACATGATTGTTTCTATTGCTGTGATGAAACATCAGGACCAAACAGAACTTGGGGAAGAGAAGGTTTATCTTGATTATACTGTCAGGTAGACTCAGAGAGAACTCAGGGCAGGAACCTGGAGGCAGGAAGCTGACGCAGGGACGTGGAGGAGTGTTACTTACCGGCTTGCTCTCCATGGCTTGCTCAGCCTGCTTTTTTTTTAGTTTACTTAGGTATGAAGCATCTACTCTGCCCACAGGTCTGCTCTGCCTTTGGCCAGTCAAGCCAGAGACAAGGTTGCAGCTGAGCTAAGCCCCACACTTATCGAATGTTCACTGCTGTGCTTCTGTTTGGAAGAGGAGATGGCAGTGGGTAGAGGCCTGGATACCCAGAATCCTGTGTGTGTCATATGCTCATCATGGTGGCCATGTCTCTTGAATCCCTCTTCTCCTTTGTGGAGAGTTTTCCTGGAAGGTTGGAGAATAGAATTTTAATGTTGAAATGTAATCCCAAAGATCCCGCCCTTTGCACAGGAGGACATGCTCATGAAGGCAGCTTGTGAGAGGAACATGCATACCCATCCTTATGCTTTTGAATTAAGCATTAGGTCTCATCTTTACAGTCAGATTAACGGAGATTAGTGGTTCCACTGAAGAGATTAAACATTGTGCTAACCCAAATTGTTGGAGCCATAATAATGTGGCGCTGTATGTCCAAGGACTGGGCCAGCTGGCTGTCTAGTAGAGGGAGGAGGAAGAGGTCTACATGTTCCCAGAGTGATCTCATTAATTGTTCTGCATAAGAAAGCTGGAGTGCCTCTCTATAGTGCCTCTATGCCTATGGAGCACTGTCCCTGCTTCCCACACACTTGTCCATCTACCAGGCCAGTCTGGGGCAGCTCCTTTGTTAGGAGCACATTTTATAATCAATGGTCGCTCATACTTGTCTCCTTTTGGCTTCTGTGGGTGGGGCCAAGTCCCTGAAGTTTCAGATGGTCCCACTAATGTCTTTTATCCACGTGAAGTGTGAAAACAAACCCTGAAAGCTCTTAGAAAGCTGCCATGCTGGACACAGGAGGCAAAAGTTGGGTGGCTGTTGACTAACAACCTTAAATCATCCCCCACAGTGTCAGGTCCCAAAGAAACCCAGGACAAGGCTCACTCAGTACCTGTGGCTCCGCCCAGCACTTCTCACCCCGCCCCCACCCTAAACCCCTCCAGTCCAGGGTCTGGGCTTCTGGCCCCTTCCCCCAGTTTCTGATTCCTATATAAACCTGCCATTTCAGTCACTCACTCTCTTGGTCCTCAGTTCCTCTCTTGGTCTACTTGCCCTCTCTCTTTTCTCTCTGTCTTTCCTCCCGCCCCATGGCATGGTTCAGTCTGGACCTTTCTAGATGCCTCTAGCTGTACCCTCTCTCTTATCTACAAAAAAACCTCGAGCATACCTTGGAGTGGTTATGTCTTTATCACATTCATACTGGAGCACACAGCTGTGATCCAGAAACTGGAAGACCAAGCAGCCGTACATCATTTCAGAGTTTCTCTTTCTTCATTGGCTAGGCTTAATAATTTTATGCCCATTACATGGTTAAAGAAGAAAGTGCATTTGAGGGATCTCCTTTTCTTTTTCTGTGTGTGCATGTGAGGGGGCCACATGAACACATGTTATGTTCAGGTACACATACCTGTGCGGTGCACAGAGACCAGGGGATGACATCAGGTGTCCTGCTTGATCACTCTCCAATTTATTCCCTTGAGACAAGATTGTTCACTGAGCCTGGAGCTAGGCTGGTGGCCAGCAAGCCCCAGCAAAGACCTGGTTTTCTTAGCAAGCATAGACTTGGGTATGTTAGTATTCAGACATCTGTGCTGGCCTGTCCTTGGGGTTCTGACAGGATATCCCTCAGCTGCAGCCACTAAGAGCACCACCTGTGCACATTCACTATGTTCCCTTTAAAAGGACCCTGGCCACTTCCCCCCTCCCTCCCTCCCCTCCTCCCTCCCTCCCTCCCTCCCTCTCCCCCTCTCTCTCCCCTCCTCCTCCTCCTCTTTCCTCTCCTCTCTCCTGCTGCTCTTGTCTCCTGAGGCCAGTCTTCACCCATCCCCATCCCCTCCCTAATAAAAAACCCTCTGCTTGAACCCTGTCTCATGGCATCTTTCTTTCGCGCACTGCTTTTCTTAAATTACAATAGGGTAGAATCTACCTGTTATGGTTTAGATTTGAAATGTCCTTGAACAATCATATATTTAAGGCTGAGTTGTCATCTGATGGGTTCTTGGGAAGTGACTGAACTCCAAGGGCTCTAACTTCATCAATGATGGCTTTACACTTTTCTGGCATTAACAGGAGGTGAGATCTAGTTAGAAGAACCAGGTTCCTAGGCTGCTTCCTGGAAGGACATGCCATATCTTGTCCCCGCCTCCTTTCTTCTGTCTCTGCTTCCTGGAAGGGCATGCCATATCTTGTCCCCGCCTCCTTCCTTCTGTCTCTGCTTCCTGGAAGGGCATGCCATATCTTGTCCCTGCCTCCTTCCTTCTGTCTCTGCTTCCTGGAAGGGCATGCCATATCTTGTCCCTGCCTCCTTCCTTCTGTCTCTGCTTCCTGGAAGGGCATGCCATATCTTGTCCCTGCCTCCTTCCTTCTGTCTCTGCTTCCTGGAAGGGCATGCCATATCTTGTCCCTGCCTCCTTCCTTCTGTCTCTGCTTCCTGGAAGGGCATGCCATATCTTGTCCCTGCCTCCTTCCTTCTGTCTCTGCTTCCTGGAAGGGCATGCCATATCTTGTCCCTGCCTCCTTCCTTCTGTCTCTGCTTCCTGGAAGGGCATGCCATATCTTGTCCCTGCCTCCTTCCTTCTGTCTCTGCT